AGGTGAGTCCTGATATAATGGATCAAGAAGTGTTGTCCACTTCTGCAATATTCTTTCCAAGCAGACACAATACCAACCTAATTATGAGTAGAACAACAAACAAAGCTAGATTAGATGATATTCTACCAGACAGCTGTGCAATACTCCTTAAGACCATCCACTGTCAGAGACCATAGGAGACAGGGGAGAGACAGGCCAACTTAATGGAATAGGGTGTGCGAGGCTGTATGGTGGAGTAGAAAGTCCAACAGTTTATAGTAATGTAGCAATATGTTTCCTTGACAACTGTACCACAGTAATATAAAGTCCAATCCCTGTAACATTTTTGTAACAGTTTTATAAATCTAAAATTACTGCAAAATAAAAAGTTTACATAAAAAACTCAGTGATAAGTATCAATGGATCCACTTGGAAGAATGTACCAAAAAAGGAAATTGTAAATATCTGTCCAGTTCATCAAATATGGGGACAAGTGTATATGAGTCATACATGTAAGTATCTTGTCATCACAGCAGTCTTTTATACTAGTAGACATAATAAAAGCACATTCATTACATTTCGTCCCATAATCTTTCTACGATACTATAATTCCAGATTCAAAAAAATGTGAAAGGTACACTTTTCTCTTGTCATTACTCCCTAAAAATATAGTACAGCAATTATCTACCTAATATTTACATTCTTGTATGTGTCATAAGTAATCTAGAGATTATTTAAAGAATATGGATGTACAGAGGTTATAGGCAAATACTAACCTGTTTTATATAAAACTTCAACCATCCATAAATTTTGGTATCCACAAGGGGTCCTAGAACCAACCTGCTGCAGGACGACTGTGTTTATTAGCGCTTTCAATTCTGTTTTTGCAAGTGAGAAAGTGAGTTGGAGGGTGGTGATGTGCACAGTTGGAAGGAGGTCAGCCCCTGCTCTGGACCTGGCTCTATGAACCTGCACACTGATAGGAGATGCGACAGCAGAGCTGTTTAATGGCTGCAGCCACAAAAATCATAGGTGCCACTTTTCGAGAGTGTGGCAATGAGCCAGGCTTAGCACCAGGGGTTTCATACACAAGATTACATTTAACCCTCAGCACGCTATGAGGTTGCAATTATATTCTCATTTTAGAGATGAGAGATTCTATCATCAGAGAAATTAAATTACTTAATAAGATTGCAACTCATATTCAAACCAAAACTTTTCTGACTTTTTTACTAAATCACTTACCAGGGAAATTCCATTAGTGAAAATGCCTGAATGCTGTATCTAATTAGAGTATAATCCTAATGTCATGAGAATCAACCAATATATTCAGCGTGTATACCCTACATATTTCACACCTCCAGATAATATCCATTATACTGAGAGGTGTGTAAAAGTGCTGTTGAGCATTATCTTTATAGACTTACTAGATTATAACTTTTTATTTGCCTCAAAACTGATTTTAGCTGTTAAGGTTATAGACCCTAGACACTTGTGAATTGTCATAGCAATTCAAAAATACAGAGTTAGCTTACATTAAAAGTAAAGCTTCACTAGTATGCAAGGGATAGAGTTAAGTTTTGGCCAATATCAAGTTATTCTAGATATAAAACTATATATCATGTCAATGAATTTCTTTCAGAGATAGAAATATAACAGATTATCTTTGCCCAGTCTATATGACTTCGTGCATCATTAATGATCCATTTATACATCTCATTCAGTTGATGGCAGTGATTTTCTGCTGTCATTATTATAGATTGGGTTTAAAATATTTTTAATATGCTCATTTCTCTTCACATTCTCTCTTTAGTTGGATAGACATTCCTTTATTACAAACTGTAACCATTAACTTGAGGGCTGATAAATCATAAACAGTGTGTGCCTTAGTCATTTCCCATTGCTGAGACACAATACCTGACACACACAACTTAAAGCAGTACATTTGGCTCACAGTTTATTTGGTTCACAGTTTCAGTCCATGGTCAGCAGTCTCCAAGACAGAAACATGATGGCAGAGGAGCATGGCGGAGGAAAGGGTGCTCAACTCATGGTTCCCAGAAAGCAGAGACAAGGAAGGAGCCAGGGATAAGTCTTGCCCCAAGTAATCCAAATCAAATAAGGCCTCACTTCATAACAGCAAGCCAGCTAAGAACTCAACAGTGGACTAATCCACTAATGAGTACTGTACCCCCGATCCAATCACCTTCCAGACACATGTTTGGGGATATGTTTAGATCAAAACACAACAATGAGAGAGACAGCATGTTTTAAGAAAGTCTGAAATCTACCAACAAGAGTTAGGGGAGAGATTTTCAAGGACTCATTCTCCCTTTGCTGTTACTTTAGGGGGAAATGTTTTCTAAATGGAAGGGAGATGGGAAATATCTGACATAGAATAGTCATCTTCATGCTGAAATTAGCAAAGCAATTAAAGGGGCTGCCATCCTGCATTATCAGGGAGCCTTGCATTACAGATAGAAGCAGAGCTTTGGTAGACAATAAACATTCAAGCTTGTAATCTAATATGAGCAATGACCCAGACACATGGGCAAGAATCTATTAAATGCTGATAGCAAACAGCCACGTGCTGCCTGAGTAAATCATTTGCTTGTGCCATCATGAAAAGAAACTAATTTTTTAAACCTATTAACACACTACTGTTCTGGTTCACAGTTTGTTGGCTATAAATGGATTGAGAGAGCTCCTTCTCTTTCTTCTCCTGGGATGTGTTCTGAGAATTGAGTTCAATTAATGCTTCTGAAATAGCATCTATTTTGGCATACATATCACACATGAACTTGTACTTCTTTTGTTTTTGTCTTTGTATTCAGTTTGAGTTCTGTGAGCCCTCCCATGAGTTTGTAGTCAGTTGCAAGTTGGAATCATGGAAAAGAACAAAGTAAGAGTAAGCTGTAACTTCAAAGGACAAACTTTCCCAAACAACTACAAGTTAGAGGCATCACTGTCATGACTGAGGTGGCAACTCTTTCTTCCAACTCATATGTTGTCTTCTTTAAACTCAGATCTTCAGAATAACTCCTTTATTTCTCCCTTTTGAGAGTTCATTCTTTTGGACTCCAAAGACACTGCTGAATTTGTTGGACCTATGTTTATGCCAAATACTTGTGGCCAATTTAAGAAGTTTCTCCACATAGAAGTTTTATCATATAAAATATGATAAGCAAAGCACCTGCCAGGAAATGTCATCTTTCTGTAAAAGCTCAAATCACAATTACCTCTGGCAATGGTGCACAGAGAATGCCACAGAAAAGATAGAACAGATCATTGAAAGCCACAGATAAGCCACAATTCTCATTTCAGCCCCAAATTTTAAACGCATCCACAGACCCCACGGACTTTCTACAGAGTTCATGGTAAACTGCAAAATATGACTTGAGATCAATTATCTTTTATTATTTTGAAAAATTTTTACGCTACTTATTTGGAAATTTGAAATGAAGAACATAAAACATTGTTCTAATTCATAGCTTCTAAAAGTCAATTGAATGTACACTGTAGCTACACTTCTATCTCAATTATATATATGTATACATATATGTACACATACACGTCTATGTATATATACATATACATTATATATATACTCATCACTCAAATTAGATTTTGCGCTAATCTGTCACTATCTCATTTACATGGAAAATACAGTGGTGTTAACAGAAGGAAGAAATTCAGAGATTGAGCAAATTATGCCTCCTTCAGCCCCACTTTCCTACCAAAGGAAATGAGACTGAAGGACAGAAGTGAAGGCCAAGAAGAAACCAAAGGCACTGATGCTTAAAGAAAACAATCAAAAAGGTTCAGTAAGCTGAAGCAGGTGAAGAACTGAGACAGAAAAGATTTCACACAGAACTTTCTAGCAAGCTCTCTAAGTGGCCCACCACGGAAAAGGATGCTTGCTCACTCCAGACTGAGAATTCCCTGCACCCTTCCTGAGACTGTCCTAAGTTCAGGATTTCTATCCACTAAAGCCCTCTGTAGATCACAGATTCAGGAATTTGAACCCAGAAGTCACTCTCCCTGGGTCATTTCTCCTCCTCTATTCCTGCCAATTTAACTGTTGCCTCTTCTACTTTTCTACTTGTATCCACATTTGGAGACTGGTCAGAGCTCTGGTTAACAAATCTTCATTCTATACAAAACTCCTTTCTTCCAAGTGTCACCCTTGCCTTTCCTCTTGGACACTGGTCTCCCTTATCTTCTCTGGTCTTAACTGCACTTAGCTACTGGCCCTCTCAGTTAAGAAGAACCCAGAAATTTAACATCTAGAATTCCTTCTGGTCTACTTTACCCAATAACTTCATACATCATGATTTAGAAATGGATTTGAAATGGTGACCAGAATGTTTAAAATGTCTACTAAATATTGACTGATGAAGTAAACTAATAATTAGCTATGTGTTCAAAGGGATATACAGAAAATATAAGCATAAGAAGTAATTCATATGTGGACTCAACTTAAAATTTCAGAAACAGTGGTCCCTCATTTTGAATGAATCACTCTATGATCATAACATCCCATATCCTGTGGGCTTTTCTTTCACATAAGCATAACAGCATAAGAAATCAAAGTGGTAGGTATGCCTTCATGGATAACTGTGCTGCACCTACAAAAGGATGAGGGAAGTATTTGATTATGCAGGCTCTAGGAAGAGTCTTGTGTTATCTGAAAAGTTTTTGAGTCTTACCAAACCATGCAGTATCACCAACTTTTTGCTCTTCTCATTTTAGGCAAAGCTGAGACTAAAGTTGTGACTAAGCCCAGAGCTCCTTACTGGGCTCCCACAGCAGAATGATTAGACTTTGGGGCTTTCTGTTTCCAGTTATATTTTCCTCAGCCCATACATTATCACTAGGCACTCACGTTACCACGTTTCTCCTCACTTCTCCAACCATATTTTCAGAAACAAGAGCTAGTGAATCTACACATGAAACCAAGGTGAATCAAGAAGCTGAAAACAGGAGAATCACATGAAATCCATTAGACACTTGCAACTTACAAGCTTCCCGGAGTTTCTCTTTTTCATAGTGGAATCCTTCATAGTCTTGTAAACTGATTTTGTTCACGCGGATCCTCAGACGATCTGGGACAGACTGGGGACTGCAAAACAAGAACCAGTGGTCAGATACAAATGAGAGAGTAGTACTGAGGGTCATGCACCTGGAGGGAGGAGGGGCAAGGCCGTCTCTTCTGGCTTAAGAGAAGGAATTCACCTTCAAACTAGAATTGTGGGTTGTATACCAGAATACAGCAATTATCTGGAGGAAACTTCTCCAGAAAATGAATGCCTCTGGAATTTAGGTAAGAACTAAAATGCATAAATATGCATAAAGACTTTTAAAACCACTCTTATATAATATTTGCTATTAATTTATTAAAATTCTTAGCAAGATTATGTGCTTTATTACATTACTAGATACAGCTAAACTGAAACAGCAAGCAGAATGGAGCTATAAAGAGCTATAGGCAAAGAGGCCTATAAGAGTCAAACCTGTTCTACTATGACCTGACCCCCCCAAAGAGACAGAAGAACACTATTTAATAGTGCAGGGCCGGGGATTTAGCTCAGTGGTTCTGCTGCCTGCCTTGCAAGCACAAGGTCCCGAGTTCGATCCTCAGTACCAAAAAAAAAAATACTATTTAATAGTGCAGAATAAGTGTTCACAAAGCACAGGACTAAGATTAAATAGCTCTACTGAATAGTCTCTGAAAGCACCTCGCAATCAAAGCCTGATACATTAAATACTTCCTGGGAGCATGCCTCTGAGCACCCCTAAAATAGAAAAAAGTTCCATAAGTACAGAATATTTTCATTAGGAAGAGAATAAAGTATATAACTCATTATGAAATAATTGAATCCAAACTGGTTCAGGACACATACTAAACAAAGGCAGTAGTGCCATATTTTCTGAAGCACTCTGCTCACACTCAGAATGTCCACACTAGGTTTCTTGGATTTTCCTTATGTTACATCTTCAAAGTAATTAGATCTTGGATATAAGTTGAGTAAAATAACTTGGAAAAGTTAATTTTCATCACTTCCACTCTGGAACAGCACATTTTTTAACACAGTGCTGCAGCACAATGGCCACTTATCCATGAATACCAACTTATACCAAAGTTTGACTCATTGAGATAAGTTTCTCAAACAGGGGATTACTGCTCATTCTATATAGAATGGGGATAAAAGTCACCATTTACTAAAACAGAAAGAATACCATTACTCTCCATTTCTATAAAGGGAGAAAAGGAAATGAAAGAAGAGGAGGAAAGGAGAAAAGAAAAGCAGAGAGGAGAGGAAAGATGGAAAGAAGGAAAGGAAGGAGAAAAAAGAAAAGAATGAATGGAAGGAAGAAATAATACTTTAAAAATAACCCAGGTCACTTCTCTCTGCCACCTCAAACACACACACACACACACACACACACACACACACACACACACACCATACACAAGCTGTTTTAAAATGTACATAGAGGGCTGGGGATTTAGCTCAGTGGTTTCGCCACCTGCTGCACAAGAGCAAGGACCCGAGTTCCATCCCCGGTACCAAAAAATAAAAAAAAGAAAAAAGAAAAAGAAAATGTACATAGAAAGGGGCCAAGGATTTAGCTCAGTGGTTCAGCTGCTTGCCTTGCAAGTGCAAGGACCCGAGTTCAATCCCTAGTACGAAAAAAAAAAAAAAGTGTACGTAGAAATGCACAGATTCTAAAGAAAGGTAGTGGACACGTGAAAATGTCTGAGGGTCACTGGATAAAAACAAAGCTAATGTAGGAACCACGAAGATGGTTTCCATGGGGAAAGCTGAGGAGACAGACTCAGTAGCTGTACTGCTCCATTCTTCAGAGTGTGTGTGCTAGGTGTCTAGTTTGTACCACCATTGTGCTGGACACCAAAGAGGCAATGTGGAATAAAGCTGATATGAGCATTTAAGTGGTGGTCAGAGATCAAGTTGAACATAATAATCTTTTTTCCAGATTACTAGAACAGATCTTAAGTATCTTAAGTATGCATAAGATCTTAAATATGCATATCCACAACATCATTTTACATGTAAGTCAAGTGAGGCTCAGAAAGGTAAAGTAATTTTAAGGTCACATAGCTACTAAGTGGCAAAACTAGGAGCAAAGCTTTGTTCTCCTCAGCCATCAGTTTCATGTCCTTTCTTTTATGCAATTCTTCTAAAATAGACTCAACCACCCTTCTCAATGGATAAATACCAAGAACTCTATGGATATGATGACAAAGTCATAAAATCAGGATTAGCACAATCAGATGATCTCTATGTAGAGCTATGACTCTTTACCAATAAACAATAGGCAAGGAGCTAGTTAAGTAAACTGTGTTATATTCTAATAAAAGAACAGGTGGTAGATATTAAAGAATGGGTAGATCTATATATACTTAGAGGGAAGTCTGGCAACAACAACAAAGTGAAAAAAAGGTTCATGGAAAATTATATACATCATAAGTTCCTTCATGTAAATTGTGGAATTTAGGAGTTTATGTATTCAAAAAGAGAGTATGGAGAAATGTTCAATAAGTGGTTATCTCTACACAGTAGGATTACAAAATTGAACATCTTCATTTGTAGATAAATAACCTAGTTGCAGTATTTTAAAAGCATGTTAATCTATAAATAAATGATAAGCCCAGATAAGGGTAAAACTAAGAATTATTGCAAAGAGTGCTAGATATTAAATACAGGTAAATAGATAGAAAAGAATGTAGACTATTAACAGAGTGACCATACAATGTTCATACCAAGTACTTATCTAAAAATTAAGGGAGTCTGATCTTTTAATTTCCAAGTCCATCTAAATTATCTACAAGATTAACTACCAAATATTTTTCTACAAACATGACAGGTAAGAGAGAAACTGTAACCATACAATGTGGTGGGCTTTCCTGTTCAGTAATGGAATAAAGAGGAGTTCAGGGATTGAATGAACTTGACCTAAACAAGAGATAACAGTAACTCTAGTGTTGCCCTGTGGGATGGAAGTATCAAGACTAAGACCACACTGCAGCAGCAGTTGCCAGTGGAAAACAGCATTCAAGAAAGGACCAATGACCAGTCCCTGCTCTCTACCTCCACATCTTTGTTGAATTTGAACCAACCCATGTGAACCACCTTTCTCAAAATCCATCAGTAGCTCCTCCTGTCCAAACACTTCTCTCTGCCATGTTTTCATCTATCCCCCAGATTCCAGCCCATACAATGCTGCCTCCTCAACCACTGGCTTCCCACCAATCTCCCTGACTGTTGGGCACACACTATGGACATGTAATGGGAGTTATCATTTGAACAGAATTGTTTAGAGCCAAAATTAATTCGCATATTAATTCATTTCATCTCCAGAATGACCAGCTAGGCAAGAGAAAAGAAATACTCTTAACTAATCACCACTCAACACCTTCCTGCTTTCTGTTCCCTCTTCTCTCAATCTACAACATATCCAGCTTTCCCAACAGCAGCAGTTTTCTTAAATCCAGTCTCCCGACTCAAATTCTGAGTGTTTTGCTTCCTATCAAACTCTTCCCTAGGTGAGATTCTCCACCAAATTTTAGGGTGTCAGACCATGAAATCCATGGTGGATATCCCCTGTGAATCATTTTTGACTCTGGGGTAAACAGTAAGTATAGGAAGGAACACACCAAAGTGGTTAAGAGACCAGGCTCCAAACAGATTGAATGGATTTGAAGTAAAATTCTTCCAACTACTTGTTAATCAGAAAATTCTGTGTGGTAGTTTCCTCATAAATAAAATACAAATGATAATAGTACATATCTACTTCACAGGGATAAGTATTAAATTAATCTGTACATATCAGGTGCTTTAAAAATGAGCCTGGTACATTACTAAGTGCTCAGTAGATATTATCTAGTATCATTACAATAAGTGTTCTGAAATTTTTCTCTTGGATAATACTCTGCGTAACACTAGCATCTGCTGTTGCCAAATATTAGAAGAAGTTGAGAGCACATATGAAAATTTCCATAGGCATTTCTGACAAGGGTTTTGGGGGAAAATTGTCTAGTTTGGCTAGTGTCATGATGTTTCACACTCCCGGATCTTCTCCCATCTGGTATTTTACACAGCCAACTAACAACAAGAACACAGACAGCTAGAACACAGGGCAGAAAAAGTGCATAGAGGCTAAATGAAGGCCAAGGAATTCAATTTTGTCCCCTTATGTCAAAATATATTAGTGTCCCATTAATGGCTGACTGAAGGTAGAGGATGACAAAGCTTTTCTTTGGAGTCTGGGAAATAGCACTACCATTAGTTTTCTAAAATTACATTTTTCCAGGGAAGTTAGTAGAGCATAGAAGAGAATAACAACTTGGGTAAAAATAATATGCCTCCTTCCAACATGTACCACAAGTTACTAGCACACTGATTCAGGCACCATATCAAAGGCTCTAATCCTGACTTTCCTGGAACCACTCAAGTTTCCTACAAGGGATTCAGCAATCTGTGAACTCACTAATTTTCTCTGCAACATCAACACTGAGCTCCTTATGCATAAAGGAAGTTCACAGTTCTGGATTTCATACTCAAATGTTCCTCATAATAACTTTCTTAACAGCCTTAATAACATCCTCTCATCATATCTCTCACGTGGGCTTCCAGCTACCTCTAGACCACAGCTTTCATTACCTGCATCACACACCCCTGTTACCCTGAGATGCTGGAAGAGAAGTGGAGGGCCATCCCATTGCAAAAACTCCCTGAACACTCACTGGCATTTAATTTACACCTGATTCTTGCTACTCTTTGCTCTTCCAAAGATGTTACTCATTGTTCCTGTGTAGAATTCAATCCATCAGAATCAAATTCCTCCCTGTACTCTCAAAACTCTGCATCTTTGATGTCTGAAGAAGCACAGTTTCATTCAGCTTGGCAGAAGCATCCTCTTAACCAACGTCCTGTCCAGGTCTAATCTCCCCATGGCTGGAGCACAGGAGGTAGGTGCTTTGGTTCCCTGGGGTCACTTTCATAATACTGATACCATATGGCTACTTCTTGTCACTAAAAATATGAATCACATGGGAATGGCACCCTTTAATATCAAGGCAATACAGCACATTGAGGA